TCAGCCTGGCCCACATCACAAGAGTGTTTGTTGTAAGGTAAAAGTGGGGAGGAAGAGAAACATGTATGGCTTTCTTGAACTCTCTAGAAAAAATAAATGTGACAAAAGTCAGTTCTCCTCATAACAGTTCCCATTGTCTCAAGAGGTCTACAAGTCCCAGAGCACAGCGAGGAGATACAAAATCTTTGGCAATTTTGATTTTTTTTTCATGGTCAGTAATAAAGTTGTGTAGTTCTTCTATAGTCATTTTTTGTCTTTACATTCTGCTGCAGTTTTGCTTTGGCACTTACTTCACTAAAAGTCATTGCGGCTTTCTGCTAATACTATGTTGTCATCTGCATATCTTAAATTAATGTTTCTTCCAGCAGTTTTCACTCCTCTGTCTGAGTCTAATTCAGCTTTCTGTATATGTTCTGCCTATAGACTTGAGATGAAGGGGAGAAAATGCACTCTTGTCTGACACTTTCACCTACAGGAAACCATGCCCTGTCTCCATATTCTGTCCTTCTTATCCACAATACAGTTTGTGCATCAAGACAATCAAGTGCTGAGGCTCCTCCATTTCTTTCAGAAACCATACTTTTTCATGATCCAGACTGTCAAAGGCTTTGCTATAGGCTATAAAGCACAGACTGATCTGAAATTATTTGGTGTACTCCAGGAGCCATTAGAGTTTTGCAATATGATCTCAAGTGATACTTCTTTTTTGAAATCCAGCTTGAACATCAGGCATTTCTCACTCCATATAAGGTAAAAGCCTTTGTTGCAACATTTTGAGCATCTGTTTGCTTGAGTTGGAGATTAAAGCAATGGTCCTATAGTTACTGTACTCCTTGGCATCTCCTTTCTTGGAGATCAGAACACTGCCATTGTTTTTTTTTCCATATTTGTTCGCACATATTTGTTGGGATTTTGACAGATTCAGTCTCTGTGGCTTGAAACTGTTCTGTTGATACCCCATCTACCCTGGAGATTTATTTCTTCCTAATGCTTTCAGAGCAGCTTTCGCTTCATTATAAATGTAACTGTTTGTGCGTGTTCTGTGTTGTCAAATCAGAACCAACGTATAGCAACCCTACTAGGGCTTTCAAGGTGAGATGTTTTAAAGAATGGTTTTACCACTTCCACTGCACATCCAACGGTGATGTTCTCTGTCAGTGGGTTCTTGCTGGTGAGCTTTTTGGCAGCATTGCAACAAGCGGTAAAAGCAGGTGATCAGTAGGTAATTGCAACCTGTGCTACACATGTGGTTAAAACAGAGCATCTGAAGCTGACCACAGCTCCCTCCCCCAGCCAAAGACTTTGCCAGGCGGCTAGAAATGAGAGGCTTCCCACCTCCTTTG